TGCATACCCCGACCACATGAGGATGAAGAGATGGGTATAATATGGAAGGCTTCTTGTTTTTTATTTTTGGCAAAAATATGTTTCCACATGAATCACTTGTTTATCAAACGATCTTCCTATCTGTGAATCAAAATACATCACTATGCAACATCTGTGAAAGAAGTGCTGGTCACCAAAGTTGACAGAACTGACTAACACAGTTGAAGCAGCTGCACTTTTCACTTCCTCCCCTGCAAATGTACAGCAAAATGCAGTTCTATTTTGAGTATCTTCCTAAAATATTCACAAGAATGATGAAAAGAGAATGCAAAATTAAGGTTTCACTTACAAGTATTTTTCAACTGACACCATAAAACTAAAGCAGAGAAATAGGTTTTCTTACTTTGGTCAGTGTGGAAAGCTATGGTAATGTGAATAGAGACAGACATCAAATCATCTATTTACATGAATTTTCACGGACAGTATTTTCATTCGCTGGCTCAGTGTGCAGGCAGTGAGAATTATTCAAATGCATGTAAATGCCTTTCACTGAACACAGCTAAGACTAACCTGAACGTGGCTCATAAATCCTCACTTCTTCTGAGCCTCTGAAACCAAGACGTAACACAAAAACACACAATCTGTACCACCAAATTGCCTTAATCTCGCCATCTGAGTAGCCTATATCTCAGATATTCTTGCCATACCGTGTCAATCTGTAAGAAACTGTGACCATGGGCCTCATTTATAAAGCCTTGCGTAGGATTTACGTTGGAAGGTTGCTTACGTAGGACAAAGCAAATAAATACGCAGACATTTTCCGATTTATAAAACACTGCGTACCGGCGTAGGTTTCCCTTTATAAATCACAATCAACTCGAAATGTGGCGCAGCTTTTGCGGGCTTCACGTAACGCCCATATTTGCCTCTAAATAGTCAAAGAAACGCCCCGTATTAATATTCATTTTGACTGACTGCATGAAGAAGATCGCAGGAAATGACGAAAGAACAGCTAAAAAAGACATCTCACACCGTGTCAGATTTTGGTTATTTTGGGAAGGTGGAGGCAAGTCACATTGTTTGTTTGGTGGATACAGTTTGAACCAGAGTAGCTCAGGAGGTCGGATCGTCACCAAAATAAATAAATAAGTGGTCCGAAAAAAGTTAATGACAAAATACCAAGCCCCCAGGAAGTGCGCCGGACTCAGATGAAAATATTCGTGCTGGCCAAACGGCGGTACTACACTTCCGTTTGGTTGCCAGGCCCGGAAACACTTTTTCCCCATTGACTTACATGGGGAAAGAGTGGTCTGTAAATCGTTGGATAATTTTTTTTAAACTAAATAAACTACCCAGTATGAACACTTGTATAGCCCTTATTAAAAACATTCGTTCCTCAAGTTGTAATAATGTGCTAATAACGTTATTCTGAGAGTTATTTCCCTCTGCATTATGAACGCGCATCTAACCCACGGGACAGCACCGCCCGGCACGTTCATGTTACGTGTCCCGACCAATCAGAGCACACTGTGCTCACAGGGAGGGTGGGGGCTGGAGCTATTGGAGCTACAACGAGCCGTTAAAGGCAGAGAGTGAAATTCAGTGAGATGCTGTATGAGAAACCAATGTGAGTTGCGTTTATCTTTACCCATGGATAAGAACGGATCCATATCGTCTTACTGCCATCCCACGGAGCTGTAATAATGGATATATTGCACATGTTTGCTGTAATTCATTATCATACTACATGGGCTGTATGATTCAATCTTGTACCGTAAATGTTGTATTAAATAAAGTTAATATTACTTATTATTATAAGTATATATATATATATATATATATATATATATATATATATATATTACACAGTGCAATCATTCTTTCATGCTAAATGAAGCTCTGTTGCTTGGATATCACTAGATCCTGTTACAGCGTAATATAAGTACATAACGATTGAAGTGTACATTAGCATAATTACTAGCTAGCCGCTAGCTGCTAACTGCCGCCTCGTTAATATCAAATCCATCATAATAACAAATCATTACCATGCTGTCATGAACGTGCGGTGTCGTTACGTGTACGCAAATTGACGTGCTTGATGTGAACGAGCATTTTGGTTAAAGTTGCGCATGCGCTATGAGCGCACATACGGGTACTTCTCAGGCATGCTGGGTAATCTGACGTTTCGCTCTCTCAAAAATTGGGCCATTTTATCATCATTGCGCTAATGAGCAACTCTCATAGGAATGAATGAGGCCCCGCCTCCCACGCTGTATCCAGTTCTTATTATACATCCATGCAAAATACACATAACCTTCCTCAGGCAGTGTGTCAGTGTGTTTGGGCCGGGGACAGGAGACCCCCCCCCCCCATGATGAGAAACTGTAAGAAAGTATCCCTGCGGAGTGGAGTCAATTAATGTTTTTTTATTTATTTGGTGGTTTGTGTTCCAGCTGTCGATCAGCTGTGGGCAGCATCTCCTGTGCGTCTGTGTTTTTTTATAAAATCGCAAACATTGCTTAGAAACTGGTGTACGCCATCTTTTGAGCATACGCACCGATTATAAATGAGGCCCCAGGAGACATTCCTGATTTATTTTGCTGAGAACAGGGACAGAATGTTTTAAGGTCAAGATATGGTTAGCAAACTGCAGTTCAGTATCGACTACGTTTTGACTGTTTCCATATGGATTCCTTAAGGTTTTAGATCTGCAATGCATTGAGTCTTACATTGGCAAAGTTCATTAAATGTCTAAACCTAGAGGTAAGGTACGTTTTTTTATATAGCACATTTTCAGACACAGAGCCAATTCAAAGTGCTTCACATCATCATTAACACTCAAATAATATATTTCTCTTTACAAACATCCGTTGATTTAGTAAGATCTGAAGTTATGTAAGGTTGTCTTTCACTTGACTACGAGATCACAACTCATTGAAATTAGATACCGACTTGAGGGTGAAGTGCTTGCCATGGGGCAACACGTGGTACAAGGACTTTGTGAGAGTGGATGAGCAAATTGATCATGAAATCACTCCACAGCATCAAGCAGCTGCCTAGTCAACATCTTACCTATTATAGGATGCCATCATGGTGGAAAGAGAATAGGGCTGGTTTCCACTAATGGTAAATGTTGCCTGACCTACAATATGCCACCAGTGGGAATCAAACCATATTTGTTTTACTGCAGTGCAGTTAACTTAAGCTCACTGCTCTCTTGTTACAAACCTTAAAAAAACAGATGTCATAACATATAGGGTTTCCCACAAATAGACTTTGCTTGGGCGGTCCGCCGAGGTATATTAACGTCCGCCAAAGTATAATTCGTGACCCATTTAGGTTTAAAAAAAATGGTATCCGTCTGCGAGCACGACGCCATCCACAATCGATTAACTAGTGGACAACGGCCCCTACTTTACCTGTTTGCTCCGCTATCGCGTGAAGGGTCTGCTTCATGAGCCCCGCAGTAACCCCGCTGCGGGGCTCCGGCGAAAAGTTCATGAGCTTGTTCCACTAGCACAACCCCCCCCCCTGAAACACTGACATATGTTTATTATTACTGTTTAATTATCGTTTAACATTGGATTTGTTTTTAATTAATTATACAATACTTATTTTTACTTGGATGAAACCTTAAACATTATTTTGTTCTCCATTTGTATGTTTTTTTAATATTCATTTTAAACATGGTATACCAATTCCTATTGCACCAACTGTGGAGCTCTCAGATATTTAGCATTACATATGGCTGCCCCGAGCAAATACAGGTGTATGTTGTGGTATACTCCCCACAGTAATGCAAATAATGAACATATATAACATGTTTACATTCTATTTCTAAAATGTCAGAGATCACAGTTTATAATCTAGTTGCATTGTTTGTGTTTCATGTATTTGTGTCTGGATATTTGTCTGTTGATGTTGGACATGGAGCTGCTGTGACGCAAGTCAAATTTCAGACTTGATCTGACAAATAAAGTAATGGACCAACACCAGAGGCGTTCCCAAACACACAGGCGTTGGAGCTGTTCTTCATGAAATCCCAGAAGGATGAAGTGCCCTGACAAACAGTGCCATCTTTGCGCAAAATGATTATACAGGAATGAAAAGTCAATAAATAAACATGTTGTTAAAACTTTTTCTTTTTTTTCAAAGTCTGAATTTAAATCATTGACCAACCATTAGTGGTGCCAGTGCCACTCCTAGCAGCTAAGAGGAACTATGTCAAGCTCTACACAGAAACTCATGTAAATTACTGGATATTATCTGATGAGACTATTTGTGACAATTTGCTTGAGTTTATATATTCTCATTTTAGAGTCTGTATGCAAAATAGGAAACATAAAACGACTTACCTAACAGTTGAAACCATTTCAGGCCTGCTTTTCTAATCAAGCCAAAAGCACTTATAACATAATGCCAAAGGTAATTTGTCCAGCCCGTTTTCCTATTGCACATCCAAGAGCAGAAACACAGACCTCCTCCTAACATAAACATAAGGGACTGTATCTACTGCCCTGTCATACCCTGTAACAGCATACTTAAGTTTCTAATAACATTCTTTAATTTATCTCTCTTTTTTTGACTTAATTTAACTGTAGATGTATTAACATTCTTCACATATTGGTATATCTATTATTTTTCTATCATCACATCATCTCTGTGATTCCCTTTCACTCCTAAGGCTTAGCCTCTTTGCCCTGAAGATAAATAATACCACAATTGTCCACAAAGTTAATTCAACTCGTTTTTTGTTCTTAGTCTTAAAGAATTGCCAAACAAAGCTTTCTTTCCCAGGCATTGTGAACATTAACAGGGAGTCTGCTAGTGAACTCTGCAGGGTCACATTTTCTCAAAGTCTGTGGTATGTCGCTCTTAAATAGACAGGATGTTGTGCAGTATGGGAGACATTTCCTTGTTTTGCTAGAGGAAGGACATTTTTAACCCGACTATGGCGTTCTGGACACCAACAGAGCCTGACATTTTGAATATCAACTCTCTTTGTTTATTTTTGTACTCACCTATAGTACCGAGACTGGAGGTACGTGGAGCACACTGCCTTGGACACATGACTGGCAGAGCCGAAGTCTATCACCTTCACCCTGTAGGGCTGCCTCACTGGGTCCACTAGCATGATGTTCTCCGGCTTGAGGTCGGCATGAATCAGACCCATGCTCTTTAGCTTTTTCAGAGCTGTAGCTACCTGCTGTAGCACAGGTCTGATCACTTTCAGGGGCAACGGGCTGAACTTGTTCTGCTTCAGGAAATCGTACAGGTTCTGCTCAAGCATCTCAAACACCAGGCAAGTGTGGCTGCGGTGCTGGAAACATTCAAAGGCCCGCACCAGGTTGTGCTCGTCCGCATTCTCCCCACTGAGACGAGCGAGGATTCCGACTTCGATCTGACCCTGCCGTGCATATGAAGGGTGGTTCTTCAGGATCTTCACCGCCACCACCTCCCCCGTGCCCCTCTTCCAGCACTTTACAACCTGGCCAAACGTGCCACGTCCCAAAAAATCCAGCACTTCATAAGTATTCTTCATGGAACAGAGGACTTCATGCTGCACCACCTGGTAGTCCCCGTCCCCTCCTCCTGCTGCACCTACCCCCTGTTTGGAGGGGCCGCCTCCAGCCCCCACGGCCGCAGTCATGGTTGCGTTCCCCACATTCGTCGTTTGCATCATGGCAGGCAACATTGACAGTTCCTCCACAATCTGCATGGTGCTCCCTCGGTTATTCAGCTCCTCACTTTTACGTTTCAGCCCACATCGCTGAGAGCTGTCGGCTGAGTTGAAACCTCCACAGTTCTCTTCTCTGTCACCCTCCTCCTCTCCACCTCCCTCACGTCCTCCACTGCAGCCCTCTCCCCTTCCCCCTCCTCCTGCCTCTGTTGCTCCACTGCTGCCCCCACTTGCTGTTTCTGTCTGCTGCTCCTTGCCCTGCGAGTGGACAACCCCTGCGTCCTGTCGCTGCCGAGCCCCAGCTGGGCTTTGTCCCCCTCCTCCTCTTTTACCAGGCTGTTGTCTCTGGACACCACGCACCACCACCGTCTGTATCGGGTACTCTTGTCGTCCACGCACTTTCACGCCCCTTGCCAAGTCTTGGTTCACAAACGAGTGGGCTTGTTTGGTTGGGTGCACAATACCAAAGGTTCTGCCGTTCAGATAAATCCACGGGTGTGCCCTCTCATGGTAAACACAGCTATTGGGCTCAACTTTAAGTTTCTTCACACTGCTAAAGGCACTTGTCTGGGTTTGATAAATGTGTGCTGGGTAGACCAAGACTTGTGAGGCCATACCTGCGGAGAAAGAGAATAAAGCAAGTGATTAGTCTTGATTCTCATACAACATTTTTAGAGTGTAAAAATAACATGGTTCCATTTGAAACAAACCATAGGAAAAGAAAAAGATCACTGTAACCCGGAAATTATCTTGAGATTAACTGGAGCTCGATGAGTCTGTGTAATTTTCAATTGAGCCCATGTGTGAATAACCCGGAGCATTCACGCACACAAAAACGCCAACAAAACTGTCTGACTGATGAGACTGTATGTGCCGACGCCTTATTGGTTAAGCAAATTCAAGGATCGGCGTCAAACTCGGTTGACAAAATTACAAGCCAGCTAAATGACTGCTATGTAAATGCGTCATGTGGTGCCCCCTTCCTCGTCCAAACTGAGTGCTTCCAGTGTGAACGACAATCTCCTGTTGTGTGCGTCATGTGTGAAAGGGAAACTGCTCATATGAGAAAACTGCTGCAGTGTTTTCCTGTCTTTATTTTATGAAGGACAAGGGTGGCATTAGGTAACAATGAGTCCAAAACAACTGACAGACACTTCAAATCCCATTGTGTTTTTTTTTTAATTACTCCTACTTGATCACATCAGAACTACGAGTACCCTCATAACCATCTGTCATCCAAACGGCAAACGTCCCATGGATCAGAACAAGATAACATGTTATAGTGGAGTGTTTTAATCCTTCACCATTCTGCCCTATCCACTGTAATCCCACTAACACCTCCACACACTGGATGACTAACTTCTCCAAGGTTTGCCTGACCTTTTTCTGCAATTTCCATGCATCCTACTGCAGGTCTTTAGGCAACCACTAGAGAAGGAGATAGGATAAGAGATAGAAAAATAGAGACAAAATAAAGTCACATAGCCTATGTGTCCAATTACTTAAGACAGGGTTTATTTTTCCGTCTTGTCCCATCATGTGTTTTCGGGGAGGATAAAGCACTTCATGCTCAAGGAATAATAGTTTCAAAATTCTTCAGCAAGATGTAATGGTAATTTTTGCTAAAGTATTCTCAATGATGTGTAACAGAAAATGAGTAATTAGGTCAAATAACAAGTTTCATGAAAATCCTCAAAAACCATATTCAGAACTGGCTCAGTGGCTCAGGGTCTATGAGCTACTTGCATTCCAGGGAAATTCAGCGATGTATAAGCAGCTTGTCCCAAGGGCTTTTTAAATCACCAATAACATATAGAACCATGTTAACCTACATTTAATAATCCAATTAGAAAAAAATGAATCAATAGTGCTGTGTTTGAATAACATAGTTTTGCTACTACACTTGTAAATAATAATGTCTTATTTTCCCTAGCTCAGTAAAAAGAGATCAGTTTTTAGAAATCTAAAACTTAAAAGGACAATACAGAGACAGTCCCAGATGTGGGTTGTTCATGCCCCGCAGAGTCGCCTAAAATAAATACCACTGATGGAAAACACACTTGCTGTGATAACACTAACGCTGTGAGCGACCCCTTTGACTCTATTCTGAGCAGTAAGATAAGGTCAACCCATTCCCTTGATAGCTCTTTAGACAAAAACAGCCACATTACTGTTTGATGACGCCGTTTACCATCTTCTTTTTTCAAAACAATTTCTCAAATAGGGCAAACATTTTGGTCGTGAATGGAAAACAGAATTGCATATTTCCATGGGGAAATAAAAATTGGCCACACTGTCACAGCAACAAATGATTGCTGTGGCTGTCTAACCTGGAAGCACACCACAGTGACACAAATATTTACATTTTATAACCTAGACAGCTCAAATGATCTTTAATAGTGTTCACTTCATTTATGTTAACAGCTTTTCATTCTAATGTAATGGTAGCTGGCTGGGGCTTTGAATGATCTTCCTGTATGTTCATGGTTTTTCCACAGTCCTGCATGTTGGATGAATTGGACACTCTAAATTACAGGTAGCTGTGGAAGTGAATATGTTGCCTTGTTCATTTGTAAGACCTTAATTAAGACAGTACCCGACCTCTTCCCAAGTGTAGACTGGGATCTGCTTAATTGTTGTTTGGGGAGTTGCTAACGCGCCTACGTTTATAGTGTGTGGCCTGTAATTTAAGAACCCTGCCTCTATTATTTATTATAGCCACTGTGGGTACAATTTGAGACTTTCCTAAATGAAATAAAACATTTGGGTAAAAAATAAATCTATGTTGCAGAGCTACAGCAAAGTATCTTTGATGGCTCCTCCACAAATGTTTCATGACTTGACATGAAATACTTAATTTACTCTGACTTTTGTCTCAGTGCCGGGGGAAAATGGGATGTTAATTGTCTGGTCTGGAGAGCAATCTGTCTGGTGCCAGAGTCCCAAGACAGAGGAAGCTGCACTTTGAATGTTCTGCAAACTGATAATTCAACATTTTCAGATTTGAATACCAGTTTAGTGTAATAAAACACCCACATTTAATTTTTACAAAACGTAACTTGGGCATTAGTTAATGTCCCTGGTCGAACAAATAAAATAACTGTATGGCCAGGAGAAGTCTAACAGAAGGATGTGAAGTAGACAGCTTTTATTGTTTTAAAAGTATGGCAGCTGCTGCTATTATTACCATCTGAAGCCAGATACTCCTTTGGTCAGCTGTGAGGCTCCTCCTGTGGCATCGCATTGCCTTCAAAGCTATAGAACCGTCCAGCAACCTTGAGCTGCCAAGTAATTGCTAACGGTTGAACTTTTGACCGTGGTCTTCTGAAAATTAAACTAAGATGAAAATAAACACTGGACACCTGTCCTCAATGAACAAATGGTTCTGATAGAAAAAACAAAAGTGCCTTAAGACAGAAATAATCACAATAGGTGAGAGGATGAACAGGTGATGGTAGTCACACCATGTTGTAGAGGGAAAACTAAACAAAAAACAAAGTTATCTTTACACTCCATTTGTTTTCCTCAATATGTATCAAGGATCTGACACTCATGTTAACATTGAACCACCTGAAAACCAGATCTTATCTTTACTTTTTGAGTTGTCCGGTGAAGCAAAGGTTCAGCTGAATGGTGTGTCATTGTGAGACACTAATCATTTGTTTAAAATAGAAGCGGTCCAATATGGCACCTCAACAACATCGCTTCTCCCAAAATATTTTTTACATCAGTTATTATTATAGTTAAGAGGTTTTAGGACCTAAAAACGGACCAGTGTTTCATACACAAAACACTTATTGCAAGATAATTAGGAGCTGTAGAAACTATTCATAGCCATGCGTCTCGGCTTCACGGCTAAAAGTTATAGCGTTGCTGTGATGAGTGTATCTTGTCTTATGATACAGCATTAACTAGGGATGCACGATATTGGTTTTTTGAAACCGATAACTTCCTGCTTCTCAAGACCGATACGGATACCGATAACCGATAATAATATAATATATATATATATTAAATGTACCTGTAGTTTTTGCACACCTGGTGGTAAAAAAAAGACTAGTGGTGAGCAAATGACATGAGCATTACTACTATGAACAAAACTAACCCTGGGGTCGTCTCTGGCAAACTTCTTGCCTTTTTCAAAAAGGCAAATGAGTTAGGGAGCGCTGGATTTGTGAAAAACTCCCCTCTTCCTAAACCACTAATACCACAGTACTGGCAAAACGGGAGGAGCCGAGTGAAAAACAAGCGCCCCTCATCCCAATCCACCCACACCGCAGTATTATTTTCTTTTTTTTACCCAAAAAATATATTGTATATTATCGGGGCTATTAATACTTTTATTGGGTTTATCGGGATGACGTCATAATTCCTAATATCGGACCGATAATTATCGTGCACCACTAGCATTAACACATTGAGCATTCACACTTTAGTCAAAGTCAAAATGATTGTGCGACCAGCTTGGGTGATATCATCTAGTTTCATACATTCTGTTAGATGGCTTGGTTGCACAAAACAGAGGCCTAGTCCAGTTCATCAATGTTTGACTCAATTTATTTTTGTATTTCTTTAGTCAAAGTCAACTTTATTGTCAATCTTCCAGTTTGTGTATACAGACAGAGATCGAAATACCGTTTCCTACAATCCCGAATATAAAAACAAATGTATATAAAAATATGTGTGCAAATATATATAACCATTAACCTTTTAAATAAAGAACAAGCAACATTGTGCATCTAGCACTGTTGTCACATGTTTTAATTAATGTATTTCATCCTTAAATTTGAGTCTGCAGAATGTAATATGTTTTATTTTCATTATAAATCATTTTGTTGTTAAATATATGAGGCTATGTTCGGTTTGAGAAACTTACACAGCCCATTGTTGGCAATGACATTATGAAATTAATTAATCATCAGTGCATTTTGTTTCTTTGTTCTATAGTTGAGTAGCAGCAACATTCATCTTGGTCAATATGTAGCCTTCTGTAACATCCATTTTGTTAGACAATCTACATTCATGGTAAACAGCCATTTGTGTACAGGGAAACATAATCAATGTGTTTTATGACATCTCTAAAAATCATTAGCCTAAAATACTGTATCTTCATACACTTTTAGCATGCTTTAGATGTTTTTTTAATTCAGATTTCAGTATGCTTTAACTCAGGGGTGCCCAACCAGTCGATCGCGATCGACCGGTCGATCGCGGGGAGATTCCCAGTCGATCGCGAGATGTGTCTAAAAATAGAACAACAATATTCTGTTTTATCGTTAATGTCCTATAACATAATCTTCCTATGCCAGAATAATGCACTTGAACGCATCAAAGCTTTGTGATTGGCCGGCGTGACCCCATGTGTCGGGGCGTGGCTGGTGGGCAGTGCGTGGCGAGCGTGGCTTTATCGAAGAAGGGTAATTTAGGAGCGGCATTTCAAAACAGTGCACAAACGCTACGAGACGGAATTCCCTCCTAATTCTGCCCTACGCTCCAAAAGGGGAGGGGCCTGAAAGGACAGCTAAATGCACAGCAGTCCATTTTCACCAGGCCCAACAACAAGAGCAAGGCTGCTACCAAAGCATCTTATCGTGTCAGTCACGTTCTTGAGAAACACATGAAGTCTTTCAAAGATGGCGAAGTTGTGAAAGAAGAATTCCTGGAGGCTGCCGACGCGCTTTTGGGGACAGTAAACAACAACAATAACAGTAGCATTTCAACAGGTTTTTGATATAATAAAAACTCAAGTTAGATACCGTTATTAATCAGCTGTGAGTTTTAGTTTGTTTGAACTTAGTCATTATAATTATTGTACAAAATGGTATAAGAATGCAAACTTAAATTGATTATAGTCTATTATCAATTCAGGTTAAGAAACTAGTGTTGCTTGCATCCTATTAAAAGGCATTTATTTGTATACTCTACTAAAATGCAACAAAAAAGGGTTTGATTCTATTAATTTTGTCTTATTTATTGCACTTTGGCAGCAGATTCCTGTGTAGCTTCAGATCTGAGTTGTCTTATTAGTAAGCCTCATTTATACTTTTGTAGCAACACTATTTTTATATAATAGCAAAGAAAGGGTTCAGCGTCTTTTCTTTTTTTCCTGTGTCATATGTGGCAGCACTGTTCAATGTTTCTTGAAAACATTACCCACTGTAGTGACGTGTGAATAAACTCCAACTCTGTATCAACAACACTGTTGTGTAACTTCAGTTAAATACTTGTATGTGTGTAGATTAGAAAGAGCCGAGGTAAGATAAAGGATCTGCAGTATTTTATGAAGTATTAATCGTACAAAGGTCAGTTTTATACAAGTAGAAGTGTGTATTTACCTGGTAGTAGGCTGTCAGTAATGGCTACGTCTCTCTATTTGGACTGGTAGATCTCGGCAGACTGGCAACTTTAAAAGTAGCTCTCGGTTCAAAAAAGGTTGGGCACCCCTGCTTTAACTGAACTCCTTGTTGTTGCTATCCCTGTCATGCAGGGGCTGCTTCCCTAACTCACAGTCCAACCACCTCAGTTCACACTACTCATTCACACCAACGGTGTTTCAGGGCCGGTTCGGAGCTGGAGCTTGAAAAGCACCAGGTTTTCCTGTTCACACCGCAGCGGAGCAGCCTCTTAGCTCCGGAATCCGGTTCGTTTCAAGCAGCAAAAAATTGTCCGGCTAGAGCAAAAACACCACATACGTCACGCTTACGTCGAGGCGGGGGCAGGGGCGGGATCAACTCCTGAACAACAACAAAAAGCCCGCGTTTTATCCAGTTTGTACACAACGATGGAGAAACTTAACAAGCAGCAGTGGTCCACTGAAGAGACCAGCTACCTACTGGGAATCTGGTCTTCCGAAGAGGTACAGAGGAAGCTGGAGCACAATCGGCCATTGTTGTTGTTGTCGGTGTGAGCTGTGAGGAGTTTCCGCGCGGTTTGGCTTTATGAAGCAGGCACGCAAACGGTTACGTCATGACGCAAACGATGACGCAATGACGCAGCACCAGTCGGACTCTGGGCAGTGTGAAAAGAGCCGGAGCTAAACCGAAGAACCGGTTCTGAACCTGAAAAGCTCTAGCACGGAGCTTGAACCGGAGTTGCGTTGGTGTGAATGAGGTATTAGCTCCGGAATCCGGTTTGTTTCAAGTACCAACAAATTGTCTGGCTAGAGCAAAAGCACCGCATACGTCACGCTTACGTCGAGGTGGGGGCAGGGGGAATTGGAATCGTCGTTGATGATTACGATTGTAAAGCAGTTTTGAATGTAGCATGTAACGACTGTAAAGTTGGTAGTAAATTAGAAGCATTCTACTTGTCGGGTTAGCGCCTGTATAAAGGCAATATACTGGTATACTGAAGTAATAGTCAATAATACTTAGACATGCGAGTACCAATTTAAAAAAATGTATCTGCAAATCACTGACTAATCATATTTGAAAGTCAAAGGGCCAACGATAGGAAGACAGATGCCTCATTCCTACTGAAACTGGTTAGTCTTGCTTACTGTCATGAACAAATTATAAAGTCACTAGAATTTCAGATGCCTTAAATATATGTAGGTTAGGTTTCATTTATAGGCAATGTGTAAATGCATCAATTTAGGATTAAAGCCACCAGTCTATATCCTCTATCAAGCATGGAATTACAGCTGTCACCACGTTGCACATAATGAAATACAAGACACCCAAACAAGTACTTATATTATTTCTCAAACCATTGATCATAGGGAGGCACAAACTGTTACACCTATCATTAACCCAAACAAGAACACAGAAGCAGAGAGGGTCGATAGACCATAAACCAGATATTCTTTTCCCTCACCAGTTTCCGGACAAAAGCATCAACCGTGTCATTAAAATCCAGGGGCTCTGACCAGACCGCTGGATGCAGAAAGGTAATTATGCACTGTGTGCTGGAACAGATGTTTATTTATTGGGAAATTGGCTATTATCCACCAAACACTTGTGTTACTGAAAACGTTTGTCATGGTGCCCTCCCAACAAAACTCTCAATTACAATTGTTATCGCACATCTGAGGATGGCATCAGTCTTTAGGTTGGCCGCAATGTAATAGATAGATAACCAGCAGCCCAAAGTATAGCACATCAGTGCTGCATGACAGCACTCAACCCCCCCTCCTGTACTAACAACCAACACCACCAACTAATAACAATTATTGTAATGGCAAACACCGTTTACATATTTATGTAGTGGCAACACAGTGTTGACTGTCCAGTGTCCCCTGGAATTACTGGTATTACCACCACAACCTTGCATTGCTACTAATAAGCCAAATAATGTGAGACATGTACAGAAGACAGCAGTTTCTTTATGCAAAGGTAATCACACAAACATAACAGTACCGGGCTGAGCTGTACTCTGTCTAAAGGTTCAAAGTATTCACAACTCATCTCTCTTATCTTTTAAGAGTAGTGTTCAATACAATCAAAGAGAATACAACTAGATATTTGGTAGAAAAATAAGAAATGAAAATACAAAAAGGCCAGCCCCCATCATTTATACTTTTAGGACAGTACTTGAAACCAAGTTTGTTGCATAAGCCAAACCAACCTAAACTTCCGTGCAGTATTTGCTGAACCAGTGGAAAGTTTCAGTTTAACATGGGGGGGAAACAAATATCTACTATCTGTTATCTTATGAGTTTCAGAGCTACAAACACATAATAATGCTGTCATACAAGACACATGTAGAAGGGAAAGTAAAGTTGATTAGAGCTGCTATGCCAAAGTCTTAATTCTCTTTTTTTCACCATGTAAAAAAAAACATGATGGTTCCTGCCACATAAGGGCTAAAGGTACTTTTGATTTGCTGGGCGGTGGTGGTGATGTCCAAACCCTCCTTAGGGAGCTCAACGATTGACTGTATACCTCTCCTTTAAAACAAGAAACCACCACCTTAATTGTGCTAATAAATAAATAAATAGATAGTTGAGTATGATTAACATGACATTAATTGCAATTTTGCATCGTAAAACCTATTTTCTTTCGGTTTGTGTTCATATCTATAGCTCACAGATGTGTTGCCAGTAGATGGAAAGGTACTATTTTGTTTTAGCTATGTTGGTCAAAGAATCCAAGTGTGTTTATTAACGGGTATTAGGCAGATCAACCAAAATACTTAACTAAACCAACAAGCACACCGTGAAATAGGCTTGCAAGATAAGTAGCTCACTAAATTCACTACGCAGTCTCAAGATAAACATATGTGAGCCATTGAGGTCCATCACATATCGCTTTACAATTGCACTTACAGTTTTATAAGCGGTTAGTAACAGGTGACATTACTAGACATATTGTACACATTTAGACCAAGTAAAATCAAGCGAGTGTAATTTTGTAACAACAAGAACAAAAAATAGTTTTTCTCAGCTATGATTGATTAGTGATAAATTGTCTTGCACTGTTTTGCTAAGGTCAACTCGGTGACGTGCGAAGCCAGGTGTAAGCTAACACATTATGAAGTTATACAGTACTCACAAGTTAGGTCACTCGGTCCTAATTGTCCATATACGGTATGCTAATTATAGAATAATCTGGTGTTAGCTAGTTAATGATCAAAGCAACATTTTAAAAAGAAAACCAACTGGTCGCCGTGACAACTGTGTTAAAAACACAACAGTGTCCAAAGCAGTCACATTAATTACCACCAACGTCATTGCTACCTCTGTTTGGCCGAACAAAAAAGACAATCACCACTATTTTAATAAACGCTACCGAAAGTCCGGACAGAGTTAATATTAACTAATTTACGTACGATTAATGTAACCGCAAAAAACTGGCTAGCTAAGTTTGTAGCTAAGTTATGACTTTGTATGACGTCACATTTAGACTGTCGTCTCAAATGTTAGGCTGAACAAATATCACCATAGACAGCCATATTTCCTCCACTTACCTTCACATAGAGTCACTATAGATATAATCCAGGGCTTCTCTGAACATGTTATGGATTTATAAATCCATACCATGCACAGTTCGCCTGCATTGCTGCCATCTTGTCATAGACGACAGGAAGGGAGAGCTCGCTATCGGCAACGCCACCATCTCCCACATTTTAAACATTAAATAACTCTTGCATATGAGCGTACAGAAACACCACACCGAGTCCAGGTTGTAGCTACACAGTTCAAATTCGTCTTCTTCCTCTTTGGGCGAAGTAGCCCATCTCTGTAAGGGTGTCCGTTACCCCGTCTAGACGTGCTGTTCCGAGGCCCTGCCTGCCTCAAACATGTCTCTTTTCTCTAGCAACTGCAAGCGCAAATGTTTGTGAACTGACGGCATTGGTCAGACCAGAGTAATCAATCATCGAGCAGATACATTCACAAAGAATCAGATGACGTTACACACAGTACAGAGGTTGGAGAAGATCTAGTACTTAATTAAAGTACCAGAGTGTAGAAATACTTTGTTACAGGTAAATGTCCTGAAATCAGAATGTTAGTCAGTTAAAAGTACAAAATTCATTTCAGAATCATATATTTCATATTTATTTGTTATAACTATTGATTCATTCATGTGTTTATCAAAGCTGGTAAAGGTGCAGCTCATTTTAATTGCTTCTAATCCTATACAGGGTAGCTTGTGAATGTTACTCCAGGTGTAACTTAAATGTAATTTAAGTGTTGATTACATTTCACATCTTGAATCAAAATCAAAGTAACTACAAGTATTTAATAAATGTGGTGGGCTTAAAGTACACAATTTACATCTCAATTGAAATAGGGTAGAAGTCCAAACTAAAGTAGCAAAACATTGAAATACTAAAGTAAAGTACAAGTCTTTCAACATTTTAAGTACAGTATTCGGTAAATGTAATTATTATTACTTACTTTACACCACTGAGTATGAACAATGCAGTACAACACAATTGAATATAATACAGCTGCAGCACAATACAATAAGTAATCATTTGGTGAAAATATCAACATAATGTATACCTTAATACTGAATGAGGCAACTGGACATTTTATTTTACATTACATTTTAAACTAAGTGTAGAGGGGTCTTAAGGTAATTAGTGGGGAGCTGAAAACTACTGCTCAGACAGTCCGGAGGCACCCAGTTGCCAGACAAAGCTGCTCATAAACCCCCTGTGTCTAAGAAAACCAGCTGTAATCTAATCCAACACAATTCATTTGTTTTCCCCAGTCCTCACCAGATGTCCCAACCCCAATTACAGTCAACAGCCCACCAGGCCCGGTCAGCTGGAAAGCAGGTGAGAACACTATACCCTGGTATATCATGAATAAACACACCTGGGGTGTTATTGGAAGTTACGAGTAGCACACACATATAGAAATCCCTTTAAAACCCATTAGCCACATGCTTCCTGTGGGCTTCTTGTGTGGTCCCTCCCAGGCCTGATCTCATCCAGTGCATAGTTTATAATCAAATCTAGACACATTTGTAACAATGCTATAAAAAAAACACTACATGGGTCATTCCAGAATTGTAGAATTGTAGGACATAAACAAATCTAATAATCCATGCCCAAAAAGCTAAAACATGCACTTGTTGTGTTAAATATACTTGTTTTGAGACAAGATGCATATAAAGTTGTAGAAAAAGTGGTTTCAAAATATTATTTAAAATATCAAATAGCTCTCGAACTCTAAAATGGCCCTTTTCTCTTGTCCCAGCTTCTTGGTGAACATTTAAAATAGGGTTTTTATTTACTTTTTTTCATACTATTGATATATGTCTCTTGTAAATGTGTTAAATCATAAACACATTTTAAATAACAGTAATTTTGCACAGAAGGTGTGTCCCTCAACATGCGCCTAACCCTGTTATCGAAACCTTTTTAGCTTGGCAGAGGAAGTGAAAAAACTGTGAAAAATCACGTGAAAAAACTGTTGTCACATGATACAGTGGAAAGGACATTATTTAGCAAGCCATGTGCTACTACTACCATGGGTAGACCAGCACTAAGTCCTCTCTTTTATTTGTAATATATTTCCAATCTTGTCACTCTTGAAGGAGTGTGGCACTCATACAAACGCAACCCTGTTACTCACATTATAAGACTAAAACTAAAATGATGTCACAACACTACAATTGTACAATACATTTCATTTAGCTTTCATCCATAGCGATTTACAGTTACAGACTTTCAGTGCAATCCACCATGAGGATCAAGGCCATAGCCGTGAAGTCAACATTGGGGGGGACCAAAAATGCAATCAAAATTTGAATACTAATTTCCTGCCATTCTAAAGGAAAATATATAAAAATTCACTATCACATGGGATACTTTTCAAGTATATGTCCCCCCCCCCCCCCCCCCCCCCCCCCAATGTTGGTGAATTCGGCCCTGATGAGGATACACGTTCAATACAGCAAGAATCCTGCAAGTGCATTTTCTTCAAATAAGCCAATCTGAGCCAGAGTACTACATCATACGTTTACAATCCTACTACTAGTAAACAGTAATAATTTTAAAAAAACAGAAAGATAGAGCAAATACAATAGTTTACTTGTGATCAAGTAACTGATCTGTGGTCTTTTGCTTTGGTCTGTTTCGGGATTTTGATACACTCAAGCACGCGCTCTCTGGGACTATCCTATGTCCCCTCCTACTGGCCAGCATTGTGACCAGCATGCCGCAGTACTAAACAAGTTCTTGTTACTGATTGTGGATAGATCTTTTGAGTTTTTATTCACCATAAATATGTTGATATACCTTCATACAAAACGGGCTGTGGTTCATAACATAAACTCCCAGAGTTATAGGGCAATACAAATATATAGATCTGTGTTGTCTAGGAGAAGCCGCCTATCGGACAAAAGTAGAAACTTGGTTTCCAGTTTCATATGTGTTGGACACTCCTCCTATTCATACAAGTTTTCTTAATATTTAGCTATTTTAGGGTATGAATAAGATTGACATAGGACAAAGAAATGCTTCCCAAATGGGCGTCACTTTGTAAAAAAAAAGTGGTGGGGATACATGGCAGAAGACAAGACACCTTCCACCGGGTGTGTTGAACCTCAAGCTCCTGCATGAAAATCCTTAGACCTCTGGGCCAACAATGTGTTTTCAAACCAATAAACGCCCAACTATAGGTCTTGCTGTGATGTGATTTGGATTTAATTTGTACCTTTATGCACACAACGAGCAGGACGGAACATGACATAAGTAAAAAAAAAAAAATCAAATAAACGCATAAATACAGTAGAAAAAACAGGAATAAGAAAATACAATACAAAATTCATTAATGTGGAAATAAATAAATGAATGTATAAATACAAAAATAAAAGTTGATATTAAAACAAAACACATATCTTTAATGTATTTCTGCATTTATTTACACAAAATGCATCATCTTCATTGTAATAGGTGACCAAATGTTACAGTGTTGGCAATACATGTGTGAGAATAAATATATTATAGCTCAATATCATTTAGTGTTACTTTACGTATTGGTAGAGGTGAAGATCAGCTTTATTTTGATACCGGAAGTACTATTGTTGTTGCCACTGTCAGAGCTGAACAGCCGAACGCAAGTTTCTCGCCATTTTAAAATATCGGCAAGCCATCGAGCAGCTAGTTGCTTGAGGGCAATGTGATCAGCATTTTTGAAGCTATGCCGATCACTTAGTCTCTTTAAAATTGCCATCACGTTATATTTTAAGCGTTTATCCCATTGATCTAACATTTCTAACCTAGATTACTCTTCCAGCCATGGCTAGCGAGGGAGCAGCAGCCGATCAGGTAGCTAACGTTACATGCAGTTCTGCTGAGGGGCTAGCATAATTTACCTTGTGTGCTTTACTTGAATTATGTTATTAGGTAAACTCTGTTTCAATACATGTAGTGTGTAATGTTTATACGTCAATATTGGCAAATATTACGAACTTACGGGGATTGTTTGTCCTTGGTTTTGTTGTAAAGCTGTAACTTTAGCCCGTCGTACGCCGTGTTTGCTAGCTAATTGTAGCATTGTTGCTAAGTTACCACCGTTAGTTGCCTAGTGTTTGCGCGTTAGCTAACTTAACATTTACTGCATGTTAACCTGATATACACTTTTATGTATGTCCAGGTAGGCTGTGTAACGCATTCATGGTACTAGATGCTTCTCAGTTGTGGCAGCTTTCAAGAGCTAACTTTAGCTATCTAATGGGAGGGAAAATGGTGTTCTGTGTTTGTAACTATATTCAACTCTTTAATTAGCTGCAATGGGTATGTCGTCTATAGTTCTACCAAACACGGCAGGGGGCGTAGCCAATAATTGTATTGATCATCCTACAGCCCTCACCACAAGCATCACAGTGCACTGCATGTCTGTTCAGCAGTTTAACCCTTTCCCCATGTGCCTTATGTGTTTTTTTCCAGGCAGCGCCAGAGTATATTCCAGAGAAGGTGAAGAAGGCAGAGAAGAAGTTGGAAGAGAACCCATATGACCTTGACGCATGGAGCATTCTGATTCGAGAAGCACAGGTTTAGTGACACAGAGTTGTATTCCTGGGGTTAAGCAAACTGGGAATATGGGTTGGGGGTTAAAGGGGTTAGGTCTTGTTAAATTCAAATCACTTAATCTTTTTCTCCCATATGTTGATTTAAATGTGTTCAATAGCATTGAATGTAAATGCATTCTCCTTCTTTAGAACCAACCGATAGATAAAGCAAGGAAGACATATGAGCGACTTGTCACGCAGTTCCCAAGTTCTGGCCGATTCTGGAAACTATTCATTGAAGCAGAGGTTAATACTTTTTCTTTTCTTTAGTGTGCATGGCTGGGGATTTTTCTAACATGATCAACAATGTGATTTTCACACAAACAAAATGTCTCATTCTAAACTGAAGTTTAAAGTCACAATTCTTGTTTTGAGTAACAAGGCCTGACTAAATTGTTCGAATCCAGTTTTTAGCTTAGGTTTATTTTAGATGGTCAAAAGTGATGAGTAAAAACATTGGCAGTTCAAAGCATACCTGCCTTTGAACATAGATGTAGTTTGATTTAAAAGCATTTTTAATGTATCAGGCTCTGACTAAACACTTAAGAATTGTGCATTTTAAACTAAAACAAAGGGGAAATTAGTTCCCAGGATAAAAAAAACAAACATATTCTCTTGGTCATATTTAAATGGGGTAAAGTGCATTTGTTGCATGTTTGGTCTGCAACAGTATTAAAACAATTTTAATGGTATCGGAGTGCATTAGCCTTTTATTCACTTGTCGTGTCAATTTATTGCCTCCTGTGTCATTTCTTTCGGGTAATTTCATAAACAAATATTTTATGGTGTGGCCCATTCTTTCTTTGACAAATCTCTT